CCCAGGTATTTCATCATCTGGCGATGAGCCAGTGCAGGCCCATTTCCCACCCCTGGACTTCTGATAGGTGTAGACCTTTGTCACCCCCCAGTTTCTATCCGCACAGACACACGCACCGCCCTAGTGATGAGTCTTAAGAAAGCAAAAAGACGTTTAGAAAACTTGAAAGGGTTTTCTGCGTGGGTGCTGAAGCGCAGGCTGGCTTCCTTTTCCAGACTCCGGCTCCGTCCGCAGCTTGCAGACGGGTGTGGGCGAGCTGCACGGGGAGACGCGGTTCTGGCACGGTAAGGACTACTGCAACTTCGTCTTCAAAGACTGGGTGCAGCTCGACAAACCGTTTGCGGGTGAGTGGCGCGTCAGCAGAGGACCGCTTCTGCGGGGAACTCCAAAATGTCTGTGCAGGGGAAATACCACCCTCTCAATGCCATCTGTCCCCCAACATTTCGAAATGCCCTCGGGTTTTGTCTGTCGCTTTCCGGCATCTCAAGAAGTGTGCGTCGTGGGATCTCGTGGTCAGAGAGCGGCTTCCTCTGTGTTTGCTCTGCGTTGGAGCCTCTGGGGAAGTGTTGTAGACTCTGCAGACGAGGCTGTGGCCTGGATGACGCTCCCTGGTAGTGCAGAGTCAGGGACGCCCATGCAATTGAACTTCCCTGTTGGGAGCAGCAGGTTTCCTGAGGTATAATCATTCCGCACGCGGTGTCCCCTTCGTTGACCATCTTCTCTGCGGTGGCTGGTCTGCCAGTGTTAGGAGGCACTGTTCAGATGGGCAGCGGGCTCTAGAGTCCACGGGGTGACAGAGATGGCCTGCCGTTGTACAAAAGACCAAAATACGAAGTAACCAGCCTGCGTAATTTGTACCAACTCACAGCTTGCCTCATGCGATGATTACCTCAAAGTCTTGGGGAGGGTGCACTGGTACTGTGGGGGTGGGGGGACGTGGCTGTGTTCCTCAAGGTGAGCTCTGTGTTACCCCAGCCAGGAAATGTGCATTTGTGGGAATTAGCACATACACACTGTTGTGAATCAGAGTTGGGGGCAGGGATGCAGGGCGCTGTGCCTGGCACGGCTGTGCGTGACCAAGCCTTGCCCGGTGCACCTGGGCAGATTTCATCGACAGGTACTCCACTCCCCGGATGCCATGGCATGACATTGCCTCTGTGGTCCACGGCAAGGCGGCTCGCGACGTGGCCCGTCACTTCATCCAGCGCTGGAACTTCACGAAGGTACGGGGCTGGGGTGGTCATGGATGACACCGCGTGAAGTGGGGCAGGCCTGGCCAGAGGAGAAGTGTGCAGGTGGACAAGAGGGCCTGCGGTCTTACCGCCTTGGGCTGCAGGTAGTCTGAGTGCCTGGACGCCTGGACGAAGGAAGAGGCGTTCTTAAACTGGTACACTATAGACAATCCAAGTGCAGAGAGATAGGAGCCGCTGCCGGCTGCCTGTGACATGGCCATCTTAACCTTCTTACCGTCTGCTTTGTCTGAAGTGCTGGGGTAGGCCTTGGGGACACACATGCCAATGAGATATTTAGATTGCTCACTGTCTAGGAGAGGAGCGCCGGGCCTGGGGGAAGCTCGGTATGTTTCACAGAGCTTGTGATATGCCTTGTGGAATTGTGTGTTCCTTTAGCACTCTCTTCGTATTAAAAAAATAATAACTTGTTTTATTTGTTGCTGTGGAGAATAGGCTCAGCAGCACGTGCATCCATTCAACTGTTTCTCCGTGGACGATGTAGCTACACTGATAACATTCTTCCAGTTGTTCCAAGTCTCACCTCCTTTGTTGGGTCGGTTCTCCCACATGAACAGAAAAGATCATTGTTTTAAGTTTCTTCTGTCTGTATCTGAAGGGGCACTGGCATTCACTGGTAGACTTGCCATCTTCCATGCCGAAGAAGACCCAGGCTTAATTTCCAGCCAATGCACGTGCCACCTGGGCGGCTACCCCCTGCCAGTCAGTGGAGTCTTGTGTGTGGCTGAACAGGCTTCAGTGAAGCTGCCGGGCCAAGACAGACTAGGAAGAAAGGCCTGTTGGCCTCCTTCCAGAAACCAGGCGGTGAGAATCCTAGAGATCACAGTGGTCTGACCCACAATCCATCGTGTGGATGACTGAGAACTGGGCAATCTTTGCTTCCACTATGCCTGGGATCACAATGGCGTGGACACTGAGTACTTACAAGAGCGAGATGCTTTTGCCCATTTCGCTTCATGCCCATATTTTATGTAACTATGGCGTAGCGTCAGAAAGATATTATTGAAATGCCTCATATTGATAGATGCATTGTAAAGGGAAGCTCAAAGCATCTGTGTGTACAACACCATTCATTACCTGAAGCAGGTAATAAAGGGCGATCTCCACGCACCAGACAGCTGTTGCTCTTGTTAAGGTTAGGAAGAGGTGGCTAGAATGTGGTTCAGACACCTCTGGTTTAGCCATGTAACCGTGGTATACTTCACAAGTGTAGCATGGACAAGGAATTCACCTGGCCCCCAGAAGTGGGAATAAGTGCTTAGAATTTCCTTCTTGACCCTTCTAACTTAGCTACCTACTCATCCTTCACAATCTGGCTCTGAGGGCGTCATTCTGGAGAAACCTTTATTAGGTTGTCAGGTTTTATTCATCTAGGCACACTTACCTTCTTTGTTCTCCTTGCATTCTCTTTATATTCACTTTATTTAGTTCACTCATTGAATATGCAAATATATAGCATATAGCCACCTTGAACACTGGCAGCAAGATATGAGAGTACTCAGGTATTTTATTGAGATAGCACTCTGATTTATTTTCCTAGTAGACTACATGCTTCTCCAGGGCAAGAAGGTCTCTTTCATTCATTTTGTCTGTAACTAGTCCCTGAAGGAAGCAAACTAGGAAAGAGTCTACCCTTGTGCCTAACAAGCATTCTTTCGGTTGCTCTACCTGATAAGTGTTTTTTAGTTTCTTAGATGTGCTTTTAGTTTGCAGAAAACAAAATGAGATCTGCGCTGCTTCTATTCTTACCACTATTTCTATTAGTAAACTCCAAATAATATTATCTAGCCAAGTACTATCAGTAATACCCCGACCCCCCTCACAGTGAAGTAATATGGACACATAACGACTCTATAGGACAGTGCACAACTGCTCCCTAGGGCTTCTGAGGCTGTGAATCTTTCTGGGAGCTGACAGTCTCATCTTTATCCTGAGGAACAGCTAATGGGTTTGAACCACTGACCCTGTGACTAGCAATCCAATGCTTATCCCACAGAGCCACCGGAGCTTCTTTACAATAACACATCACACTTATTTTTCCAGTTTGATATATCTAAACATAAATTAATAGGTACGGAGGTTTTTTTTGGGGGGGTGTTGATAATAGAATTTGGAATCATCTAAGGATAAAACTGGTGCTCAATCTTTGGAGTATACTAAAAGCAACTGTGGGTTTGAGGGCATGTATAGATCATATCGCAATTGAAAACAAATGAACAAACAGCAAATGTGACTTGGAAGCTATTTGGGCCAGAGCTACCAGCCTGAAGTTGAGGGGAGTCGAAGGAGCACGTCCTGACCATGGAAGCCCGTGGCCTCCCTCTGTCGTACACAAGAGCGCCTTCATTGGCTTTGGCTTTGGTTAAAGTTCTGGTTTCAGCTCTCAGGGGTGTGTCCTGGTGACCCAGTTCCCCTCTCTGTGACACAGGGCAGGTAGGATCACCTCTCTCGGAGTTTGTCGGAGAAGGTTTTGCCTCCAGAGGGACAGTTCTACTCTGATTGGAGTTACTATGAGTTGGAATCCACTTGATGGCAGTGGGTTTGTGCTTGGTGTAGTTAGACTAAAGCTACATTCTTATTTGGTATTAAATAGCTTACAAAATATAATCTCTGCATCTTTGCAACATAGAAGAAAGCTATAAAGTTCCCAGAGGGAAAAAGGTTAATGCTAAAGTTAATGGCTTACTCGTGCTTCCCAAGGTTTTTAAAATATGACTTCAGAAATTATTTTAAGGATATTTTCAGAAATGAATGTTTCTAGAAGGGAATAAAACCCACTGCCTTCAAGTAGATTCCAACTCACAGTGACATTACAGGATAGACCTGCCCCAAAGGGCGTTCAAGGCTGTGAGTCTTCATGGAAGAACAATGTCACATCTTTCTCCCATAGAGCAGCTAATCGTTTGAACCACTGCTATTTTGGCGAGCCACCAAGCGCTTTAGTCACTGCACCATCAGAGCTTGCTTTTAGAACTGAGTAAATTTAATTTTTAAATGAACTCTCATTTGCCTCTGGTTTTCGAATTATAGAACAAATCCTGTGATATCTGCTTTAATGTTTGAGTCTGAACCCCTAAATTGACTCCCCACCTCCATTTCCCTTTTTGGGGTTCTAGAAGCAAGTAAAAGCCAAGGGTCAACGACCACTGACATCCTTTCCTACAGGACCATGTGTAAATGACTAACTTCCCAACCTCCCCCTCCTCTTAGATGAGCTCAACAAACTCAACATCAGCGGGGAGAAAACGTTATTGAAAATTAATTGTACCCCAGGCAGCATTTAGACGGCACATGGAGGGTCTCGCCCAGTCTTGGTGGTGAGGAATGAGAAATACCATTTTGTCAACAGACTAGAGAGGAGGTGCCTCCGGGTAGGTCATTTCTGTGTCTGAATACTACATTTAGGGAAGCCATGCTAGCTCTCTAAGAGGAGAGCTAGGGCAGGGGGTTGGAGGTGGAGGCTACCTGGTTGATGATACATGGTCCTGGGCTGTAGAGGCAGGTGGAGGGGGATGTGAGCCTCGGTCTTAGATGCTGTCAAGTCCATGCTTGACACGTACTGACCTTGTGGACAACAGAACCGACACTGCCCTTCCTGCTCCCTCCTTACACCTGTTCCTCGACTTGATTGAGCCCATTGCTGCAGACGTTGTGTCTGCCCATCTCATGGAGGGCTTCCTCGTTTTCACGGCTACCAGCATGAACTCAGCTCTCCTAATCATGTGTCCAAAACACACGAGGCAAAATCTCACCACCTTGGCTGTGTCAGGCGCATTCTGGTCACACTTCCTCCAAGACAGACTGCCGATTGTTCCGACATGGCATTTTCAATATTCTTTGCCAGCACTATAATTCAAGTGCATAGATTCTTCTGTTCAATACCCAGCTTTCACATGCGTATGAGGGGATTGAAAACAGCCTGGCCGGCGTCAGGCACACCTTTGTCCTCAATGTGACGTCCTTGTTCTTCATCACTGCACAGAGGCCCTGTGCAGCAGATTATATTAGCGCTCTCTCTCTCTCTCTCTCTCTCTCTTGCTCTCTCTCTTTCTCTCTCTACGTAGGAAGTAATACATGCATAGGGACAGAGGAAAGAAGGAAATATACAAAAAGAAGAAACAGAAAATGGAATGCTCTAGGACCTGTTGCCCTAGAAACATCCGCTGTTGACATTTTTCTGTTGCTCTTTCCAGTGAGCCTGAGTTTGGGTCATAAAGAGAACCGCTTTCTCATTTGAGTCCCGTTTGTCTGTTTTTTCTTTATTGTAGATTATGAAATCAAAGTATCGATCTCTATCTTATCCATTTCTACTCCCCAAATCTCAAGCAACGGCCCACGAGTTACACTATCAAGTGCCTGAGTCTGTACGTGCACAAGTCCAGGTAAGTCTGACTCTTCTTTCGTACACCGGGCCACCCGGTGAAATGATCCCTGCGGCGCTCACTGACCACCATGTTGGCTTCAGAGTTTTCCAAGGAGGACGGACTTTCAATCAGATCTGAATGGACTCTGCACAATTCAGCCATATGTGACACTTTCTAGTGTAAATGCATTCAACGCGCCCTCCTTTTACAAGTTTCGTATAGATGTACTGAATGCATGTCCTCAGGAAAGACCACAGTCATGGATTGGCTATGCCTGCAACACCTCCTGAAGTGGCCCTGGCACAACATGGTACACAGTGAGCCTACAGCTGATTGCTATGAAGGACCAGGAATGTGGCAGAAGCTGGCATCCTGGAAGCCACCCGTAGTTCAATCTAATTTTAGTTCTTAATTAACGGAGTGCCTGGTAGCTTGGTAGATACACAGAATTTCACAGTATCCAACCACCTCAATTTACAAATGAGAAAAATCAAACTCCATGGGGCTATGAGACTCCTCCAGGGTAACCTAGCAACTTATTGATGGAGGTGGAACGTGAACTCTTTGTCCATTGTTACCCATTCTGTTCTCTCTTCCAATGTCAGCTCATGTATTTTGGGATCATGTGGAGGCTGCTTTGGCATTGCCATCTGTTCAGTCATGAGTATTTGCTTCAAAGGGATTGTTAAAGTGAAGATCCAGGGGTCTGCTGCTGGTCTTCCCAATAGGAACTTCTATTTCCAGATACGAATTCCAATGAACTTGATAATATAAGTGAAACGTTAGAAGGACTTACTTTGTACTATGTATGTAAAAGCAATAGAGAGACATTTCCAACCCTAGATCGAATTGTGGAACCATCGAAAAGGGAAAACCCACTTGATAGAAGTTCCTGTAGCAAACACTTTGTCTTCCCATACCAGGGAGACAACCAATTTAAATGTAGAGGTGCAATAGCTATGCATTCATATGTAAATTGATGGTAATTTTATGGACCTGTTTAGATTATTCTACGTGGAGGGGATGGGGGAAATTACTCCTGCTCTAAACTAAAATAGGAACTCAGTATAGGAAGTCAAGAGAATTTAAGATTTGATGCTATCTTAAAATTGACATGGTCAATTTATCAAAATCAGCTGATGTTAGGTAAGCACCTATTGAATAATGCATATTTTTTAATGCTCAATAAGGTACGTTTAATTCCAGGGAGCATATATGTATATACATCGTGCACTCGCCTGTTGACAGAGCGGTGCTTTACATGTCCTTCTTCTGGCAAAGGCAGGCAGATTCTATACCTGCTTTCCCAGAGAGCTGCGAGCTTTTGAGTTGGGGCCGTCCCTATGTGCTGAAGTTTAAGGCTACAAGCGAAGTCTGGATTTTAATATGAAATAGGTTCCTGGAGAGTCCCTCACCTCCATAGGTGTGTCCAAGGCCCTTACCTACCTTTTTAATCGCTACATTAGCATTCTTTTCTTAAGGCAGGCCCTCCCAATTTTAAGAGTACTGAGTCTCATAAAACCTGGATCCCAGCTGGTGGCTAGTAGCTGGTTTTTCCGAAGTGCTGAAATCACATGAGCTGTAAAAACAGCGGGGCTGCCAGGGAAGGAATCTTTTTGGAGACAGGAAGGCCTAAGATCACCAGAAACTTAAACAAACAAACAGCAATAAAATGCTTCATTTCTCCTTTTTCTGTAATCTTCTTGAAATAGCATTGTTTTGCTATCATCATATTATTTACTGGTTCAAACCTCTTTTTCTTGTGGTAGGCTTATGAATTTTTAATGACTTTATTGTCAGATTTATCACCTGTTCACTCCCTTAATTGTCATGTGACAATAGCCGAGAGGCTGTTACATACTCCAGGATGACAATTTTAGCACAGTAATCTTCTTTAAGTTTTTTCTTTTTCAACGTGAAACAATGTTGCTCCGAGGCTACAAACTAAGTTAATTGTAAAGGAATAACATAATGTCATGATTATGAGACACATCTGAGAGCCAAACAGTTCAAATGCTAGCACACCTACAAACTAGCTATGTCTGAGGGGGTACCCCTGAAGACCCCAGAATTGCACTAGGCAGAGTGGAGCCTTCATAGTAAGCATTTTTCACTCAAGGTGAGCATCGAGCAACTGGCTCTGAGTTGGTGCATCCAGTGGTGTCACCTGGGAAGGTTCTTTCTGGTCACAGTTCATTTTTTTGTAAAAGCAGTTTTGCACGAACCTTGTATTTAAGAGAACAGCGTGAAGCTGTGAAATGTTTCTTCCTGCTCGGGAAGGATGCCACTGAAATGTGTTCTGTTGAACACAGCTTACGAGGACAGTGCTATGAGGAAAAAATGTCCATCGATGACAAGCCTCATTCTGGAAGTCCATCGACTTCCTGAACAGGCAAAAATGTCTACTCCTAATGCATTTGGAGTTCATTCCACCAGGTCAAATTTAGTCAAGCTTTCTATTTAGAGGTTCTAAAAAGATGGTGTAACAGTGTGTGACAGAAAAGGCCTGGATTGTGGCAGACAGGGGACCTGCTCACACAGCCATCTCAGTGCTCCAGTTTTGGGCAGAAAACCGTTTACCTCTCTTGCCCCATGAACCTGACTCACCTGACCTCACTCTGTGAAACGTCTTTTGGTTTCCGCAAATGCAGAGGGACATGAAAGGACAGAGATTTGACGACATAGACGAGGTGAAGAAAAAAATGAGGGAGATGTTGTCAGCCCTTGAAACAAATGAATTCGAGAAATGTTTCCAAGAATGGAATCACAGATTTGACAAATGTATTAAGTGTAATGGAGAGTACTTTGAAGGTGATAGATTGTTTTGTAAAAAAAATTTAAAGACATAGCTTTGAAAAACAATTCTGTTTTTGTGGGGGTACCCCTTGTATAACCTTTGGGAAGTTATTTAGCCGCTGTCTATGTAGTTCCTGCATTTGTAAAACTGGGATAATGACAGTATCAATATCTTATAACACAGTGATGCTGGATAAGCAAAGTAGCCCATGCAAAACACTAAGAGTGCACATTGCTTATTTTAAGTCAGTCTTAGCCACACATTTCAAGCTTTCCCCAAAGTTCTGAGGTTTGGCAACAATGTAATTGACATTTCTTCAGGTGGTCATTAAACTAGTTTTGGATATAAAATCTTTCTACCATTCATCTATAGAACTGTAAAGGAAGAACACTTGACACAAATAAATGATAGATGAAAGTCATGTGATTCTTTCTCCTGCAGATGGCAAACCAATTATTTAATTTTAAATTAAAAATTTAAATAACCAATTATTTAATTTAAATAAATATTTAATTATTTAATGTCATTGAATATCGCATACTCTGCTGATCTTCGACCCCAGCTATGATGCGGAGCGGTTTCAGGGGAATGGCACAGCCCAACCATGGATAGTGGAGCTACGTGAGCCGGAAGGGAGGGATGCCCTCTCAACACTAATCTTTGCTTGTGAAAAACCCACCCAGTCTCCAGCACTAGATCTAGTAGCATCCACTGACACTGAAAATGTCTTGGCTGTTTCCTCTCCAGACTGGACATCCACAAAAGTCTGCCGAGAAGGCCTAGCAGGAGAAAAGCCTAGGGTGGGACCAGGAGGGAGGAGGGAAACGAGCTCTTTTTGAGACCAGTTATGCCCAGAGTATATGAAAGGACTTGCTTTTAAACAAAATGAATTAGGTTGCTTAATGCATCATTGTCATTGTAGATACATGACAGAAATGAGGTGTTTCACATGTGAATTATGATGAAAGGAGTCTGAGTGGCTCAAACAGTTCGTGATTGGTTGTTGACCCAAAGGTTGGCAATTCAAGCCTTCAACCTTAGAAGAGGCCTGGGGGCTTGCTTCTGAAAAGATGACAACTAAGGAAATGGAAATGGTTATAGAATTGTGTTCTAAAACTTAAGTGGAGTTGCCTTCAGTTGGGGCTCACTCAAAAGTGGTTAATAACAACAATAACAATGGCTTAAAATAAAAACTTCAAAAAGCCTAGCACCTTATTAGCAGTAGGGTGGAATCAACACAAGGGAACGATGCTTCTTATTAAGCCGGGTAGACCTCGGTAGAAATCATCCCGGAAACTGTTGTTGCTCAGAAACCATCGACGAGGAAAACAAGGCCATTGGAGTCACTCCATCGATCCTTTGTCTCGACAAAAAGGACACAAGGGAGGGTGAAGCAAAGAAAGGACATTTACTAGCACGTGTGAAGGACCCCTGAATTACCCTCTTGGATAAAATAACCATTTGGGGTAAATGTCCAAATGGTACTCCCCATGTGGAGATGCAAAAAATAGCAAGTGTTCTGTGTTGCAAAGATGGGTACGGAAGGATGAGGTGGGTAGCTGGAGGTGAAAGGAGGCTGAACTTGACTTGGCTCTCAGAAAATACTTGGCACAGACACTATTTTCCATTTAGGGACAGGTTTTCATGCAGGACACTTACACTGACCTGAGTGGCCCTGTGGCCATGGCTGGGGAAAACAAATACAAACAGGAGCACTTGCTCTGTGTCTGACCTTGTGCCAGGCCTTTGCTAGAGAATCTCATTGCATAGTCACAGGTCTATGAGCCATACCCTTCTTATTGTGAACTGCCATCCAGTAAGCCCCCACTCACGTCTGCTCCATGCACAGGGGGACACAGCACACCTG